TTAGTCACGTGACACACGTGAAATGCGTGATACCGCGTGATACTGTGACACGCCCACCGGGGTATGCCGCGAAATACCTCACCCATTTTGAATGGCTGCATCTGTATTGCTCCTACACTTCCAAGTTTCTGTATTGTATTCTACTGTATACCACTGAGTTCGTATTTCAAGCTAGCAAAGTTTTGGTGGCTGTACTGTCACCTGTTAGTTGATTTGCTATTCCCTATATCATATCATTTGGGCTTCTCATTCATTTCATTTCCTCTCAATCTAATTGATCAAACAAAGACAAGACTGTATCTAATGTTTCTCATTCATTCAACACTATGCAGATGGTATGCCAAGTTCCTCCAACACTTTGCAACTGAAACCCAGTCACTGTGTGTTTAGTGTTTGAAAAGCTCTGAATCAGTGTTTTGAGGATTGTGACAGATCTGTCATTTCCTCAGTCATTTCAAAGTTAATGTCAAAGTATCAATTACACTATTCATCAGTGGTTCTCAAACGTTTTGGACCAAATACCACTCCTTATCAATCCAAAGTACCACCTACAAGTCATCTTCTCAGAAACCACAAAGAAATATTTTTAAATCCTTTTCCATCCCAAACCCCTTAAAATATGGTAAAACCATAGCGGCCAACGTATAATCCTCCTCGTTCTCCAGGCGTGCGTGATTCATCAGAGTAATCTTGGCATCTATTCCTTTCAGCCTTGACATAAATTTTAATTTTTACAAGGTATTCCTTTTCGATTACTTGTTCTATTGGCGAATGTGGCACTAAGCTTTGTCTCTGAAAGCTCGAGAGGAGTCTGAACACTCAAGTATTAGCGCATACTGTATCAACGTAGCTAAGTACGTAGGCTGTATATTTGACAAATTAACTAATTTTATTAAAATAGAAAATATGAAAACCCGTCTCAAGCTTTCTGAAACCAATAAAGTAAATTACAGATGAAAATTTACATAATGTTTTAATTATTAAATTTTTAACTCCCAATTTTTCAGTGCACACAACAAATTTCCAGGGTCATCTGACTTACCACCTGGGGGTGCTCCGTGTACCACCAGTGGTATGTGAATCACTGATCTAAAATGATGGGCTAATTTTATTATGAGAATTTGACCAAACTATAGAATGTTATTTACAGTGCCCAACATTTGGGAAGAAATCACATTCTAATCTCACACACCTTCTCTCCTTTGTCTAAATACTCGCTGGCTGCCTGCAACTCTGTGCACATATTTCTAGTACACATCCCCCATTTGTCACCTTTGCAACAGTTTCCTTCTTCATTCTTTGTAAGTTAGGGAGGTTATGAGAGTGCTGACATTGCCAGCTCAATCATTGAGTTAGCATCAAAATGCAATAAGTATGCAATACCTTTATATTTGTCAGTTTGTGCCATTATTGGAACTACATCTGAACTACAAGCCAAATTAAAAAATAAGTTTGTGCTTATGAATTAGAGGTTTGCAATGGCTAATTTTAATATGATGTTGATGATCTGCACAGTAATGCATGCAAGATGTTTTGAAACTCAGGAACACTTTTATATATACATAATAGACACAGCTGTAACTCAAGATTAAGGAAGGAAATGAAACATGTGGTAATACCACCCTTCTGTTTTCCTTTATTAGAGATAAACTGGTCATATATTCTGGCTTTACTTCAAGGCAGAAAAAGATGTGGAGATTCTGGATAAAAGGTAATTACTAACTTTACTGAAGTTTAATATCAATAAAAATAGGTATGCTTCTTGCTGTGGAGATAATATAGTTGATATCAGTCTGGAAACTGCTTGTCCTTAATAATAACACATGAAAATCATATTTACAATAAAAAAGTTGTTAACTATTTCGCTGAGCTTCAGGACTTAACACATTCATGAGCACCTATAAGCACAATCAAAGAATCAATTATGAATGGAAGAGGAGCCAAGAAATGAAACCATAACCAATGATTCTGCAAGCTATTGCTTTCTGAAATAAAATAGGACAGGAGTGGATATCTTGCTATACTCATTTTAAATTAATCATAATGTGTTTTTGCTATGTAGTTTAGCAGACTAAATGGGACCAAGAAATCATAACAACTGAACTTAAAGTTAAGTTGATTTTGTTATGTTTTATAATATAATTAATGATGAGGACTAGCATATTTTTAACTCTATAAGCTTTATCGGACAGGAAAAATTATTGTGTGTGGAAACCTTTCAAATGTAGTATTGAGAGAACCATTACATCCCCTATCTCAAAATAATGTTTAAAAATTATATTTTAAATAAAGACTTAGGAGAAGAATGGTCCCAAACATTACCATATTCTACTTCCTCATAATTAATATTCATTAGTCCTTTTTTTTTTCATTTAAAGTCAGTCATAAGCCCCTATAAACTCCGGTACACTGACTGTTTATTATGATGAACCCAATCAGCCATATATCCTCTGTTCATTGATGGATACCAAAAAACTGTTACTTTTCACTGGTTCGTGCAGAACCTCTGGTAAGTTCTAACTAACTAACCATTGCTGAAACTCGCTCTGGTCATTGTTTACAGCTAAGTGCAGCTCACAAAAAAATACTCTTTTGTCACTTGGTACAAAATAGGCTCCACACAAGTACAGTTCTGCTGATATCTATGGTGAATTGAACAATATTATTATTAATAATAATTATAATGTTGGTTATATTGTTATTAATGTAGTGTTGATCTACAAACTCTAAAGTACATACAATAATTACGACTGTTGAGAGTATTTGCTAGCAATTGAATAACAAATCAGATTTTTTTTTCTCTTTTGCATTTTGTTGAAGGAAATAAAATTACACACAACTGTAAAAAGGTATAGGAATTCATAAATTCCTACATTTCATTAAAATTGTAATTGTGGCATTCTATGTTGGTTTTGGATTCTTCTTGGACCAGCATTACACATGATGGTACAGATGCAGCCGTTCAAAGTGCAGACACGTACCCCGGGTAATTGGCTACGTCCTCACGCAATACCGTGGTACATGATTGGTTGACTGACAGGGGCACTCATGGTGCGTTGGTCAGTCGTAGAAAGATATAAATGTCTTTACTGTGCCCGTTTTCGTATTGAATATTTACATGGAATTTTACCACTGAAGGGAAATCTTAGTAGCCGAGCATAAAAAGAATAGGAGCATAACACGTGTGAAGGCCATAGACGATATTGATTTTGGAACATAAACATACAGTATATGGCTGATCTTGGTACGCTTTCTTTTCCGTATACCAGATATTATGGAACCACTTCAGAAGGGTGTCAGCCAGTCAGATTCCAGGAATCGGTACTTTAAAGAAAAAATAAACACCAGTATTCCATTTCTCACTAAAAATTTTAAGCATCGAAGTCTTTAACTAACATGTGAAATAGTGTGTAAAAAAGTGGTAGTTTTAAGCTTTTTTGCTAATATAATATGGAATCGCATATCTAAAGAAATTAATAACGATATAATTATATTCGTGTACTGTAACACAGTAATACATGCTGGTAGTCTGGTGGTCTATGCGCTGGATTAGTAACCCACAGGTTGTGTGTTCAAATCTAGCCAGTGTTGTGAATTTTTTTTAAACAAACATTTCTTTAAAAAAATAGAATAGCAATATTATGGACAATTAATTGACAATAAATATACAAAAGCACATATTAAAATTGGGAAATAGTTTTAATATGTAAATAGTTCCCTGGTTCCGCACCCCTGGTTTCTCTCTCTCGCTCGTTCGCTAGCTCGCTTGCCCCTCCCCCTCCCCCAATTCAATTCAAGGTGCTTCATTAGCATGACCGATGGGTACAATCAGTGTTGCCAAAGCAAATAAAATAAATAAACTGCGACACTTTTATCATTCAACTTTTATCATTCATATGTTTAGTTATTTAGACCTGGCTTGGCACCAAGAGAGGGAGGAGGTGCGGAGCTCAGCAGTACAGAACGAACGTTGTGCTGCCTGGAGCGCTTAATGGCTCCAATCGCGTCTGCATTTTTAACTTAGTTTTTAAAATTAATCAAGCAATATGAAGCGTCTCTTTTTACTTTTATGTCCCTTAATTATCATGAAGCACAGCTTTCTCACCACTTAGACTACTTTCTGATACCATCCTTAGACAAAGCAGAAACTTGTTGTACTTTCTAATGAAATTACAAGTGGAAAGATTACAGATTTTAAGTTTCTTTTTCATAATTACAACAGTAGTACCTGGTATCTCAGTGGCTTTCAAAATTAAATTATGCATGCAAACCTGTGAACTAGAAAGATAACTAAAATATCCATCCATTTCTAATGGTGGCGAAGTGATTAGCATTGCCATCTTGCAGCACTGGGGTCCTAGGTTCAATTCCTGCCATCCTGTGTGTGTGGGGTTTACATGTTCTCTCTGGGTTACATGTTTTTTCTCCATATGTGTGATATGACTCCCTCTCGCACTCCAAAACATACTGGCAAGTTAACTGGCTTAGGGGAAATGTTCCTAATTTAATATCTTTTCTGAGCATGTGAAAGGCATGGTGAATCAGAGATTCTCAAAAATTACTGTACTTTGCATGATTGGAAACAAATGCGTGATTGCGAAATGCTGTGGTGTTACTTTTACAAAGACGAGAATTTACGGTATTAATACGGTAAACTGCGTCAAGCGCACCGAAAAATAATGCGGTATTGCCCGCTTGTTTTGAATGGCTGCATTTGTACTACAGAAAGAAATATGTTTCATAAGATCACTGCAATATATAAGTGATTTGTGTACATTTTATCTAAAAAATGTACAACAATAAATATAAAATGGTGACATTGTTTTAAGAATACAAATGTTTCATCTTGTGTTTCTTTTGGTACCCAGTTATCATTAGCAGATTACTCCTGCCTGTCTGCATTGGTCCAAGTTTTCCTAACGGGACATGCACTGGTAAGCTGCAGATCATGATTGTTTTTTTTTTAATGTACTGTATGTACAATATTGTCTGTAATTTACTAGGAGTGTGCTTGTTTCGCATTTATAAATCTCTAAATATTTCCCTTCAAATTTTGGGAGGGTATGTAATTTGTTTCTGATATTGTAGAATATTATATTACAATATTAGAGGCTTTGCTTTCTCAAGATCAAATCAACATTGCTTAAATAACTCTCATACTGTAAATGTCTGAATAATGGAAGCAAATTCCAGGTTAAGTTCTATTTATTGGGCTGAAATATCTGTATCTAAGTTGTATCTTTTAAGTTTTCATTTCTGATGAATAAGTGGTTGAATATGTTTTTATTCTTCTGGAAAAATATTTGTATTAATAAAATTAACTGAGATTAGAAGGCTTAGAATCAAGGAACTGTGTTTGAGACTTCTACTTTGAATATTTTCAGTTTCATTTATTGATTTAAGTTATAACATTTCCCAAAAAAATCTTCAGTAAAATCTGTATGCTCCAAGCCAGTCTTAGAAATTTAACTAAATTAGAATTGGTTTGCCTGAATCTGTGTTCAGACGTGATTTTTTAAGAAATTCAGTTTTGCTTGCATTGTATTTCAGACCTGTATTACAGAAAAAAAATACTGAGATACAATTTTGAAATATGTTTGTTGACTACTGGTGAGAGATGGTGTTTACTATCACTTTTTAATGTATAGACTGATATTACTTGCAGATGAAATTATTTTGGGCAGTGCATGGGATATACATGGCTTCCAAAAATCCTAACTGTCAAATGGGCTTTTTTTCAGAGTGTTCATTACTTTGTCAAGCTAACAATGTTATCCTAGTTGTTCGTGCATACTCTGTCCATAATGCTCTATTAATGCATTTTTATTAGAACATCTGAATGTGAAGTTTTGAAAATGTAAATTTTTGAAGAAAGGTTTCTTAAACAAGAATGTCCTTGCTCTCACCTGGTGATTTCAGTGTTGACCTTCTAAAGTTTGTGATTAGTGCAATGTACTTTTATTAATTGTAATACTCAATTACTGTATGTAGATATGTTACACCAGGACTATACAGACAACTAGATTACTACAACATCTTTTTTTATCTTCCTTTAGTCATGAATGTCAGACTGGTAAATGGGTACCATGACTGTGAAGGCAGAGTGGAGGTCAATGATGGAAGCAGTTGGGTAGGAGTGTGTAAAGATTTGTGGGACAAAAAGGATGCTACGGTGGTGTGCAGAGAACTGGGCTGTGGAAGAGCTCAGTTCATAACGGGCAACTTTGGACAAGGAAAAAGTGAGAAACAAATCTCAAAAGTTCAGTGTTCTGGCAATGAGACCTCTGTATTACAGTGTGAAAAGATCCAAGAATTTTGCTATGGCAGTGATGCTGCTGTTGTTGTCTGTTCAGGTAAGATTGTCATGTTCTATTGCTCTGAACTTTGGTTACAAAATAGTAAAGGTACTTGTATATGCATGTGATATATCACAGGACAAATTATTTTACTTGTGAAGCACACATTATCGATCAAGGAATTTATTTTAGTATCAGAAATTATAGAATAATCCAGGAGACCACAAAATATCTAATCTAGTTTAAGTGTTTTTAAATTTGTATCTAAATACTTCACAATTAAAAAATGCTCTTTCAATAAACGCACTTTCTAACCATTTAGTGTTATATACCATAAAACATTCTCATACATGCAGTGAATAATACTTTATATAATGAAAGTAAAGATAAATCTTCTGTTACAACCACACTTTTTTATGTTTGCTTTTTACACTTGCAAATCATTTGAACTAATCTAGTTTAGTTGAACTAACACCACCCTACCTCAATCATTCATATATAAATAGGGAGGAGTTAATTTTTGTAAATGACTTGTGATGTATAATAGGCTATAAAATATTTAGTTAAATATTTAGATTATTCAGTAGTTACTGATATTGGAATTACCCTACCATTTTTATTAGCAACTTTCAAGACTATAAAACATTTGAGTGAAATACTTGTGGCATAAATGTAATTCAAATAAATGAGAATTATATTAATAGCAGTGTTACCTGAACAATAAGTATAGATCGAATTATTCAGAATAAATGACTAATAATGCAGTTGTTACACCCTGACAGGCAGTGGCTCACAACCCACGGTAGCCATGGGTTAATGCAGTTCTCTCGAAAATGAACACATTCCTCACGGGGCTCCAATTATTACACACTCGGGTCTCGTGCCGATTCACCCTTCCCCTTTCATCTATCAAGCCAGCTCCTCATCTAATCAACCCTGACCTGTACAAAACATCTGAAATGCCACAGGGATTATTTGAGCTTTGAGAGACCACTACACTCTGATCTGCCCTTGCATCTCTTGGCTCTTACAAAAAAAAACTAGAATAAACCACAAACTCCTGTTATCTGACCTTGCCTTGACCCTCTTCTGCATGAAACATCCCTGTGGTTTTTCCCTGTCTCTGTAACCAGTCTTATTCCCTGCCTGGATTCAGCTCAGACTCTTGTCTTTTTCAGTATTTTTTCTTTCCACCATTTTTCTCTCTTCGGCAATCTTCATCAGTTTCCACAAATCGCAGAGCATCTGTAGTTGGATTGAATGCCTGCCATTAGACACAGCTGTCAGCTCAGGCTAACCACAGCATAACAGCAGCATAATGAGTTATTCATACCACATTGCACTTGGTTCTTTACATAATAGTGTTGCAGGACTGGACTACTTTGTAAAGCCACCAGGTGGCACAGTGAATGCCTAATGAGACATATTGAAGCATTTTGGCTGTCACCCAAAAATGTCTGGTATCGAAAATCCTGATCAATCCTGAACCTCGTAGGGACAATCTTTTTCCAATTATAGAGGTTAATCTGTATACTGTTTTGATTTAATTAATTTTATTCTGTATATTACAGTGTGTTAAACATTACATTGATATTAGAAGAGTAGATCTGTTTGAAACAAAATGACACAGAAGGATATATATAAAAAAATATTATTATAACTTGTGAATGCAATGTGCTTTTTAAAGGTTTATATCCACATTAAAATAATCTATATTTTGTTTTATTGTTGTATTGTTAATTTAAGTAACAAGTAATTAAAAACAATTTTACTTTAGATTTTGATTGTGAAAAATATTTTTCATACATACTGTACTTTAAAAAACTCTATATAATGTGCTGTATATTGTAATGACATGGGGAGATGGAAAAAAACAATGAAGCCCAAAAAGAAAAGAAAGACACAAAAATAAACCCAACACTCAGGACTGCAGAGTGGTAGTGGCAAAGAACAAGGAAATCACTAAATATAATTAAATAAGCACAAACAAAAGAAAAAAAAACAGGCGTAAGGAAACAAGGAGCCAGCAAACATGCAGTAAATCAGCTACTGACAGAGCCCTGACTGAAGGGTGAGGGAAGTATTTAAAGAAAATGGAACTAATAATTAAATACATTTTTTTACATTAATTGTCACCCACTGTGAAAGTTTGCTCGATCGTGTTCTAACAGTGCCATGTGTGTATATGGAACTGCTCACCGGCACTTGCTCTGTCATGACATACAGATGTAGCCATTCAAAATGCACGGAGTATGCTGCATTAAAATGCGGTAGGCGTGGCACATCACAACGCGTCATACTGCAGTGATGATAATGGTATCCAGAATCATCTTAAGCTCTCATGTAAAGCATTTGAGCTGTCACCCGGTCACTGCTGAAGGACAATCTTTTTCCAATTAAGAATTTAAGTTGTATACTCTTTAGACTTTAAAATTTAAACTGTGTATTACAGCATGTTAATCATTAAACATTAAAAAGTTGGTATATGTTATAAAAGCAAGATTGCTCAGTTGGACAAAAGTACACAACCTACCACCTTTATCATAAATATTTTAATTATGCAGAAATATTGTATGCATACAAGTCTTTACGGAAGATATTACTAATAGTATTAATAATAAATTACCTTGGACAGGCTGTAAGCTTAAAGTATTACCATGGTCCACTTTCTTTGTAACCGACTTTATTTTGCATTGACAAAAAGTAACACCACAGCATTTCGTTGATCCGATCACGTATTCGTTTCCAATCATACAAAGTAAGTTTTGAGACTCTACAATTCACCATGCCTTTCACATGCTCAGAAACGATATTAAATTAGGAACATAAATATATTATGTAAACTGTATATGGCTGGTATTGGTAGTTTAGAAAAAATACACACCAGTATTCCACTTTCTTCCTAAACATTTTAAGCATCAAAGTCTTACATATTGTTATTTTGGAAACGTTTTTAGGTGCTCCTTCTGACTATATTAAATTTATATACTTTGTTAAAAGTTATAATGTTTTCACCTTTTCTGCGAATACGATCGTTATCGGATTATTTACTTTTGTTTAAAAGCATACATTTAGAATTTGATTAATAGGGAATATATTATGGAATCATGTATCTAAAGAAATGTATAACTATATTAATTTAAGGATCTAAATATATGTTTTTATATAGCTGGTAGTATTACTGTACTAAACTTTCTTTGTAAACACATTTTATTAACACCCGAATCGCAACGGGTGAGAAAAAGACAGAAAAAAGTGAATCCTGTTTTTTTAAGGTCTGTAGCTCAAATCCTGCTTAACTTAAAATTAGACACAAGAAGAGTATTATTGGACAATGTTTGTGAGGCGTTGGTGAATTTTTCTCTGTAAAATGAAGAGTTAAAATTGCCTAGTATTGCCAACTGCCATGTCACAACTGGCAACCCAGTGAAGCTAAGCAGGTGTGAGCCTGGTCAGTACGTGGATGAGAGACCTCCTGGGAAAAACTAAGGTTGCTGCTGGAAGAGGTGTTAGTGGGGCCAGCAGGGGGTGCTCACCCTGCGGTCCATGTGGGTTCTAATGCCCCAGTATAGTGATGGGGACACTATACTGTAAACAGGCGCTGTACTTTGGATGAGACGTAAAACCGAGGTCCTGACTTTCTGTGGTCATTAAAAATCCCAGGGCGCTTCTGGAAAAGAGTAGGGGTGTAACCCAGGTGTTCTGGCCAAATTTCCCGTTGGCCCTTACCACTCATGGCCTTCTTATAATCCCCCTCTTTGAATTGGCTACATTACTCTGCTCTCCCCCCCACTGATAGCTGATGTGTGGTGAGTGTTCTGGCGCACTATGGCTGCCGTCGCATCATCCAGGTGGATGGTGGAGGGGAGTCCCCATTACCTGTAAAGTGCTTTGAGTGGAGTGTCCAGAAAAGTGCTATATAAGTGTAAGCAATTATTATTTTTACACTTGTAAAAAAGAACATTCCAACGTTAATGCTACACAGAAGATATTATAAATAATGTAGTGCTTTCGGGCTCACGTTGGTTTGTGCCCTACACCCTGCAGGACCGCTGTGTACATGTGATCACAATGAGAGAAATACTGCTCAATACAAGTTCATACGAACAACCTGCATAGGTGATATTTAGAAATATATATTGTATTATTTCGGGTTCACAGATCAAACAGCAATATCTTACACACTGGGGTACACAAACAAACACAACATAAACTGGAATGCTACAGAATCCTAAACAGACAACAGACGCGGCGTACACATTACTGAAGCTGAAAGTTTAGCCTTTGTCACTAATGAAAGAACTAAATAAAAACATAAATATAGAAATCCCTACATTACAAACTCCAAGCATTTCGTTTTGTCTATTGCTACAATATTGACAGCAGTGCAATTACAAGGAACATGTCAAAATGCTTCCAAAATAAAATTTAATGATTTGAGGGCAACCCAACCTAAAGGACATCTAATTTGACACGTAAATACTTTATGTTTTCATTGACAAAAAGGTCCCTCCTATTCATATGAAAGGCAGTGATGTCACTGCACTGGCAAGCCCTCAGTCACCTGACCAGCAGATGTGCTGCATCAGAGAGAATCAGTATAGCTTCTGGGAAATACATTTTTCCGGATCAAAGATTAACTTGTTCAGAGCGCCCTACATTACAAACTCCAAGCATTTCATTTTGATCTGAAGACCCTCACACCTAAAGAAGGATTTACAGCCAAAACGTTGTGTTTTCTCTCTTCTCTTTTCAGCATGGGATAAACCTATTATGTGTTCCTTTGCAGACTACCCAGCTTGACGCAGCCACCCACCTGAAGCAGTTAGTGTTGTACAGTGATTATAGATGTGGGTAATGTCATCCCCATTAAACAATGTGCTTATCGCGCAAATCCTGCTAAACTAAAAATAAGACACATGAAGAGTATTATTGGACAATGGCATGAGGGTCTGGTAGAATTTCTCTGTAAACTGAAGTACTTTTGTCCAACTGAGCAATCTTGCTTTATAAAATATACTGACTTTTTAATGTTTAATGGATAACATGCTGTAATACACAGTTTAAAATTATTAAAAGTCTAAAGCGTATACAACTTAAATTCTTAATTGGAAAAGATTGTCCCTCAGCCCCTCAGCAGTGATCGGGATTCGGAACAAGGCATTTTCTGTCGACAGCTCAAACGCTGTACATGAGACATTAAGCTTTATTAGCCTTACATTGTGGTTTTATAAGGTCTTACAAGATGCTTCCAGATACTATTATCATAATCTAATTTGCATGTGGAATAATGCGGTAGATGCAGCACGCCTACCGCGTCTTAACGCAGTGTTCTTCACGCACTTTGAATGGTTGAACTTGCGTGAAAAATACTCACAAGGTTTACTTATCAAACTACTGTGAACAGTTTCCAAATGATGTTTCAATGTTTTTGGAAGCATACTCTCAGCAGCCAACACTTTAAGGCATACAACACACAGTGGACATTCTTCAGTGTCCACAATTGTACACATGAAACAGAAATTCAAGAAACTGTCATACTTTCTTTATTTGCGTTTCCATTTCTCTTTAGAACTAGGATCTGTGTCCTTCATGTTCTTTACTCATATTTAAAAACCTCTCAATTGCGATCGTATAACAAAAAAACTCACAAAATGACCATTTATAGAAACATGAAACACTGAAGCCATGGTTAACTGGTTTGCTGCTTACAGATTGCCGAATCTCTTGTCTAGTGTCATGTGATTCTGTGCGCACATACAGCGCTTTTTGCTTGTAAAATTTTTCTTTCACTGGCAATACCTGAGATGTCCCTGACCAACAATGGCACTTCCCCTAGCGGTGTGATGCACAGTTTGAAATCACTGTGTAAAGCGCTCATGCACCATCTAAGAGCTGGCGTAAAATCTGCCAAGAAACAGTACAAATCCCAGATAGAACACCAATACAACACCAACGCTAACCCAAGACAGATGTGGCAAGACATAAATACAATCACAAGCCACAAGAACAAAACAAGCCCTGTAAGCGCTACTGACCCCTCTCTTCTAAACAAGCTTAACACCTTCTACGCACGCTTTGAAGCTCATAACCCTGAACCAACCACCTGGACCATTGACTACCCTTTCACCCCACCCCCCACACTATTCAAACTAGATGTGTGGAAATCACTAAGTAGAGTGAACACACATAAAATTGCTGGACCTGATGGTATCCCTGGCCTGGTACTCAGAACATGTGCCTGGCAGATAGCTGATGTCTGTACTGACATCTTCAACCTGTCCTTGGCCCAGGCCACTGTACCTAGTTGCTTCAAGACGACCACCATTGTGCGAGTACCAAAAAAATCAGCACCCACATGCCTAAACGACGACTGCCCTATTGCACTCACCCCCATCATAATGAAGTGCTTTGAAAAACTACTTATTCCACACATTAAAGCCAGCATTCCAAAAACACTGGATCCTCTCCAGTTTGCCTATCACACAAACCGCTCCACGGAGGATGCAATATCTATGCTTTACACACCACACTAACTCACCTGGATAAAAGGAACACCTATACAAGAATGCTATTCATTGACTATAGCTCAGCATTTAACACCATCATACCCATAAAACTTTCTACCAAACTCAGGGCTCTAGGTTTAGATATATCCTTCTGTAGCTGGATCCTAGACTTCCTCACCAGCAGACCCCAGACTGTCAGGATTGGCAACCTCACTTCCAATACATTCACCCTTAACACTGGTGCCCCTCAAGGCTGTCTGCTCAGCCCACTGCTTTTTCTCCCTGTTCATCCACGACTGTACTGCCAAGTTCAGCACAAATGCCATCATCAAGTGGCGGGTGGTCAAAACTGCCCAACTCATCATCAGCAGTGCCTTACCATCCATCCAGGAAATCTACAACACTAGAAGTCTGAAAAAAGCCACCAAAATTATGTATGACCTCACTCACCCCAATCATAACTTGTTTGTCCCCCTACCATCTGGCAGAAGGTTCTGGACACTCCAGTTCCACACATCTAGACTCCAAAATAGCTTCTTCCCCAGAACCGTCAAGCTGGTGACGCCCCCACTCCCTCCCATCATACTATGATCTCTCCTAACTTGTTCCTATACCCACAATGACTGTACTCCAACTCCACTACATACATGACAACTGAATGTAAGCTGCAATTGTACTGTCCCTTCGATAGCTCAGTAAAACTGTATTAGTTGTAATATTTATTAATCACTGTACTATTTTTGCACTGAAGATGGGCGGGGCTGAAGGAGGTGGAGCTGAATGTAGGGATTTTTCCAGCTTCAGCAGACAGGAGTTAATATCGGCTACAGAGCGAGAAAGTGGTTCTAGAGTTTGAGAAAGCTGCTGGGAAATCTCCAGAGAAAGAGAAACTGCTAGAGAGCTAGGTAGCTGTGGAGGAGGAGAAGGTGGAACTGGAGTGTTGAGAGAAGGAGGAGGGGCTGCCCGATTTGCAGAGGGAGGAGTTGCAGGTACTGCTGTAGAGAGAGAGAGGAATGGAGGACTGTTTGACCTGAAATGGAATTGCAGAAAAGTAGAAAAAAAGGGGGGTAAACTGTCAGAGTGAGGCATAATAGGAATACATCTGTCAAACAGTGATTTGAGGAGATTTGGAAGTGGCCATTCCTTGTAAAAGAGATGAGTCGGTGTATCTGAGGTGATGCAGTGGTGTTTGAATGGCGTAGTGCATGAGGCTGGATGGGAGAAACAGAAGCATCAGCGATGGGGGAAAGAAGGATTAGGTGGAAAATTAGGTTGAATAGCACTGGAGAATCTTCAAGGTGCTAGAGGATAGGAATGCGGTCTGGAAATGATGGAGAATTAGGCCTGCGAGCCATTATAGGTCTAGTGCTCAGAATTCAAGTAAGTTGAACTAAAAAAACTCGAGACGTTTGTGTAAGCGGGGTTAGAGTTTAAACGGGAAAGATAATTGAATGATAGAGGAAGGGACGGAGCACCCCCGCTTCTCTCCTAGAATTCCACCTATCGGTTTCCATTAGTATAATACTAATTACACTAATACTAATACTTCCGCTAATTAATGATAATCATTATTATTTATTTACAGAGAATGCAAGAAAGCAAGTTAAAAACTGCAGAGATCATTTAAAAGAGGTAAGTTTTTCTGAGCAATGTGGATTGTAAAGAATCATATCATATGGCATTTGTCTTGTACCTTCTAGAAGTGTATAAATAGATTCAATGCTAGGGTACTATCCTTGACTCCTCTTTTAAACTTTTAGACTTAAGACTGCTTTAGACCCTGTGCTGTACCTGTTAAAGCATGTGCCTTTTAACAAATTTCTCTAACATCTTTACTAAAGAGGTCAATGCCACTGATCTGAAATCAATTAATGTCTTGGGAGTTTTGTTTTGCAACAGGTGTTTTTTTTTCCAAATTTTGGGTGATTCAAGAAAATACAGTGAAATATAATACTTTGCTACTCATCACATGGCATTAGTTCCTGCACTTTGATATTACAGGTCCTTGACTTTTTCTGACATTTGTTTTCTTAAGAATATTTAAAACAGTATCAAATGCAACGTGGCAATGAGTTTCTATTTAAGCTCCCTAATTTATCCAAGTCATGCTTATTAAAACTAAATTAAAAACTGTTAATTTTATCAGCTAACACTTCGTTAGTGTTAAAACCATCAATATTCACCATATTTTTGGAGAAATTACCTTTGTCCTGCAGCCCCACCATACTGTTTTCATAGTTTCCCCACTCCATGCAATTCTTGAATTATTAGAATTGAGTTCTAATCTGCACTATCCTTTGTTTATATACAAACACCTTTTCCTTATGTTTTTCTCTTTATTGTGCCATCTCTGTCCAGCCAAAGGAGGGTGCCAAAACAACAGTCAGATCCGAGACCAAATCTGATTTTATAAGCCCAGTATCTGTAAAGGCTAGGAGACCAGTATCCCTGCACTCATGGAGTTAATTTATATTTGCTTGTAGGACATTAGTTTTGTTCCTTAGAGACTGAACATGTCTCAGGATTATTGATAGCAGAAGAGTCAGGTGAAGTTATTTTTATTCCTCAAATGGACCCCACCACTTTTACCATGCATGCAGCCTGTTTTTTAAAAATATTTTTTCTTATTTTTTATTGTGATGTTTGCCACAATAACATGTGTACATGACTGGTTCCATTTGGAGCGAAAATTTCCAAGAGTACTGAATCTTGTCTGCATTTAGGGGATATAGTTATATATATAGCAGACACTGTACATAGTTTAAAAGTTAATAAAAAATGATTTTTGATTAATTTTTGATTAATTTCACATATAGATGCAAATAAAAATTAAACAAAATATGCAAATATGTAAAAATTGCATACATATCCTATGTCTGGAAATAGGATCCATATGGTTATAGAAAAGGTAGGTTTATTCAGTTTGTTAGAGCTCTTTGAACAAGTAATGAGCACATGAAGAATAAACTATAAAGATTTTCAGAACTCTTTAGATAAAATTCCCATAAAAGTTTATTTCTCAAATTGCAGGAATAAAGGTGTTAGAACTGTTTAAAGTGGTCAAAAAATAAGAAAGGAGCAGGTAAAGGTTTATTCCATGCTGAAAAAAAAATAGATAATGTTTCAACTGTGGGGCCTTCTTCAGGCTAAAATCTTGTGTCTCTTTCCTTTTCTTTCAGCATGAAATAAACCTTTATCTGTTCCATTGCAGCCTATGCATCCTGACACAGCTACAGATGCAGCCATTCAAAATGCGCGGGCGATACCGCATTATTTTGCGGTATGCTGTACGCAGTCTACCGCGAGTTACCGGTAAATACCGCGAGTTACCGTAAATTCTCCTATAATACAGCAAGCAAAACAATTGTATCCAGAATTTCCGCAAGGTGGAGCTAATAAAGCTCAACCTCTGATGTTTTGAGCTGTCGCCATTAAAGTCTTTAACGAAGATATTACTAATAGTATTAATAATGAATGACCTTGGACAAGCTGTAAGTGTAAACTCAAAGTATTGCCCTGGTCAACATTCTTTTTTTCATTGACCGTCTTTGTAAAAGTAACACCACAGCATTTCGCAATCACGCATTTGTTTCCAATCATGC